GGGGGCAGGGGGGCCCTGGTGGGGAAAGCAGGGGGGGGGGACTGGGAGCCAGGACTCCTGGGTTGGCCCATCCCCGGGGAGGAAATTAACTCCTTCCCATCCAGCAAATCCAAGGCAGTGGGGAAACTGAGTCTCTGATTGCGCCTAGCACTATTACAGAAGTTGCTGGGGGGGTCTCTCACCCCCCATTTCTGCCCCCCCCCAGGGCGTGAACTGGTTTAACTGGAAAGGCTTCGAGTTCTCCATCCCCTTCACCGAGATGAAGCTGCGGCCGCGGCGGGGCTGATGCGGACGGACGGACAGACAGACGCGAGAGGGAGAGAGAGCAAGCGAGACCGCAGCACTGCCGGGCGCCACCAGGGAGAGCCGGGGCGTCATGAGGAGACCCCCCCCCACAGGGCCCTTCCACCCACCCCTCCCCCCATGACACCCCCCTTCCTCCCAGAGCCCCCAATACTTAATTCCCTCCCCACCCCCCAGCTCACCTAGCCCCTCCCACACACCCCTGGCGGGTCCCTGCTCCCCACAGTGCAGCAGGCCCAGGCTGAAGGGGGCACCCCAATCCAGCCTGGGGGGGGGCAGATGGAACCCAGGAGTCCTGACCCCCAGCTCCTCTGGGGCTCCCCTGTCACCTCCCCGAGCGGAGGGCCTGTCGGGAGGCAGGGGAGCGAGCGGTGACCCCATCCCTGGTGGAGAGACGGAGACGGATGGACCCAAAGCACCTTTCTTCTGATTGAAACAGCCTGGACGGGCAAGGACGCTGGGGGGCAGAGTTAAGGGGGTTTGCGGGGAAATCTGGGGAGGGCAGAGTTAAGGGGGTTTGCAGGGGGCTGTACAGAGTCTATTGAGCAATATAGTTTATATATAAAAAAACAGCTGAAAATGTTCCCCAAAAAACCCAGCGGGTGAGAAACTGTTGGGGCGGGGGATGGGTGAGGGGCGGGGGAGGACGGAGGCGCTCCCCATGGCCTGGAGGGATGCAGGTGTGTGTGGGGGGTGGGGAATATGAGGGGTTTCAGGGGGTCCCTGGGGTACAGAGTGGATGGGGCTACAATGGGGGCTAGTGGTGGTTCGGTGCGGGGTTCAGGGTGGCAAGAGGGTCACTGGGGGGATGGTGGCTGGGGTGGTGGGGAGGTCGCTGGGAGTTACGGGGTCACTAGGGGGTTTGGGGCTGTGGGGGGATCCCCGGGGTGCAGCCTGGGACCGTGGCACCGCTGGGCCCCCTTCACTCCCCAGCCTGGGCCGTCTCTCCCAGAGCCAAGCCAGTGACCTGCAGCAAACCCCTCCGGGTGCTGTGATCACTCAGCCCCACGGGGAGCCCCACACCCGGCTCCAGCCGCTCCCGATTCACACCCAGACCCAGCCCCGGCCTTGCCCCCCGAGCCTGCCCAGCGTGAGTTCATTACCCGCCCGCCCCCCTTGTTGTGGGGAGGACACGGCCCAGCCTTTTTTTGGGAGCCGAGATCCCCGAGCAAACCCCCTGGTCGAGGGACAGCAGAACAGAGGTTTATTAACTCCAGAGCTCGCCGGGCCGGGCTCAGCCAGGGATGGCACCGGGGGCCGAGCTCGTTACGGGGGAGCCACAGGCTGAATCCGACCCCTCCTCCCGCCAGCCGGGGTTCAGCTCAGCGGGTTTCTCCCCCGCGGGAGGCGACAGTTCGTAGCGCCCGGGCCGCTCCCTGCACCCTAGGACCAGTCTCCTCCGTGCGTGGCTCTGTCTTCCCAGCGTCCGGGTTGCTTCCCGCGGGGCTGGGGGAGCAGAAAGGCCAGAGCGGGGGGCCCCGTCCCCGAGTTTCTGCCCTCGGTCCCTGTGCCTACGACACTTGCCCAGACGTCCCTCTGGGCGTTGCTGGGTCCCGGGGCCGGGCGATCCCCCGCGTGGCCGTGTGCACCCGGGTCACAGAGCAGCCGCGGCGCGTGGGGCTTGGGCAGCGTCAGGGAATTGCAAATCCCGGATTCCAGCTCCCCCACTCGCCGGCCCCAGTGACCCCCCCCATAACTCCCTGCACCCCAACGCTGCCCAGGCCAGCGGGTCTCAGCAGCTCCCGGGCGCTGGGTGTGAGACGTGACGGATACGGGGGTACAGGGCGCTGCTTGGAGTGACAGGGTGTCACAGGAGTCTCAGCAGGGGTGGCGGGGGGTCTCAGGAAGGGGGGCTATGGGGTCACTAGGGGCTATAGGGGGCCCCAGGGCAGGAAGCGGATATGGAAGGGCACTGGGGGGGCTATGGGGTCACTAGGGGCTATAGGGGGCCCCAGGGCAGGAAGCGGACATGGAAGGGCACGTGGGGGGGCTATGGGGGCACTGGGGGACTATGGGGGGGCCCCCAGGGGCAGGAAGCGGACACGGAAGGGCACTGGGGGGCACTATGGGGTCACGGGGGGGGCTCAGGGGGACTATGGGGGGTCCCCAGGGCAGGAAGCGGACGCGGAAGGGGGGGCACCGCATCACGGTGCCGTACACGCCCCGCAGGGCCGGGAGGGCGCCGGGCGCAGGTGGCTCCAGCCGGAACTCGCGCAGGACGTGCCCGAGGAAGACAAAGATCTCGGCCCGGGCCAGGGTCTCCCCCAGGCAGGCCCGGGCCCCACAGCTGAAGGGCAGCAGGTTGCGCTGGGCCAGCCGGGGGTCGTCCGCCTCCAGGAACCGCTCTGCGGGATTGGAGAGAGGCGTCGGCCGGGACCCAGGCGTCCGGGCAGGAGCCCCCCACCCCCATGAGAGAGTTGGAGACCCAGGTTGTGGGGGGAGGTCAGCCCCCAGCCCCAATGAAAGACGAGGATCCAGGCATCCGGGAGGGGGGTGTCAGCCCCCAGCCCCCCATGAGAACTGGGGACCAGGCATCCAGGGGGTGGCTCAGCACCCAGCCCCACAGCTGGGGGGAGGGTCCGGGGGGGCGCGGGGACCCGCAGGGGTGGGGGGCAGTACCTGGCCTAAACTCCAGGGGGCGGCTCAGCACCCAGCCCCATAGCTGGGGGGGGGGGCACGGGGACCCGCAGGGGTGGGGGGCAGTACCTGGCCTGAACTCCAGCGGGCGGCTCCAGGTGCCCTCGTCGTGGTGGGCGGCGAAGAGGTTGGGGATCACGGTCGTGCCCTTGGGGATGGTGAAGCCCAAGAGGCTGCAGAGACGGGGGGGGGGGTCAGACGGGGGAGGGGTACCTGGTGTCCCGCGTGGTGCTGTGGGGCAGGGCGTGGGGCAGGGCGTGGGAGGGGTACCTGGTGTCCCGCGTGGTGCTGTGGGGCAGGGCGGGGGATGGGGGCCGTGGGGCAGGGCGGGGGAGGGGTACCTGGTGTCCCGCGTGGTGCTGTGGGGCAGGGCGGGGGTGGGGCCATGGGGCAGGGCCGGGGAGGGGTACCTGGTGTCCCACGTGGTGCAGTGGGGCAGGGCGGGAACTGGGGGCCGTGGGGCAGGGCGGGGGAGGGGTACCTGGTGTCCCGCGTGGTGCTGTGGGGCAAGGCGAGGGGCGCCACGGGGCGCAGACGCAGCGTCTCGGAGATGGTGGCACTGAGCAGGGGCAGCCGGTCCCGGTCCCCATAGCTGGGGGGGCGCTCGGGGCCCAGCACCCGATGCAGCTCCGCGTGGATCCCGTCCTGGACCTGTGGGGGGACCCCATGGACACTGACCCCCATAGTGCCCCCCATGGACACTGACCCCCCCCCCGTCCTTATCAGGGATCGCCCAGTGCTTTATGGGGGTGGGGGCAGGAGAATCCTGCCTGCTGTACAAATGGGGAAACTGAGGCAAGGAGAGACAGGACTTGGGTAAGGTCACCCACAGAGATCCCCCCCGAACTCCCCCCAAGACACCAGCCCCCCCAACCACTGAGTGCCCTCGCCCACCCCCCAACAAGCAGGGCAGTGATGGGGCGGGAGGAGATCGGAGCCTATGGTGGGGGGTTGGGGGTACTCAGCGGTTTGGGGGTACAGAGGTTTGGGGCTCACCTGGGGGTGGTGCAGCAGGAAGGCCACGGCCCAGGTGAGCAGGGCAGCCATGGGGGATCAGAGGGTACAGGGAGGTTTGGGGGCATGGGGAGGTTTGGGGGCACAGGGCTCACCTGGGGGTTGTGCAGTAGGAAGGCCACGGCCCAGGTGAGCAGGGCGGCCGTGGGGGATCAGAGGGTACAGGGGTTTGGGGGTACGGGGAGGTTTGGGGGCACAGGGGAGGTTTGGGGATATGGGGAGGTTTGGGGGTACAGGGGTTTGGGGCTCACCTGGGGGTTGTGCAGTAGAAAGGCCATGGCCCAGGGGAGCAGGGCAGCCGTGGGGGTACGGGGAGGTTTGGGCATGGGGAGGTTTGGGGGTTCAGGGCTCACCTGGGGGTGGTGAAGCAGGAAGGCCACAGCCCAGGTGAGCAGGGCGGCCGTGGTCTCGGTGCCCCCGATGAAGAGGTCGACGAGCGCCATGTGCACGTGCTCCAGGGTGAGGCCCCCCTCGGCCGCGGGATCCCCCCCGGCCCCCGCCGCTCCCCCAGCAGCTGCAGCATGTGATCCACCATGTCCCGGGCACACTCGGGGCGCAGCGACTCCTGGGGGGAAGCAGGGGTGAGGGGAAGGAATGAGGACCCCCAAACCCCACCCCGGGGACCCTCTCCCCCTGCCCCAGAGACCCCAACCCCCAAACCCCACCCCAGGGACCCTCCCCCCTGCCCCAGAGACCCCCATCCCGACCCCCAAACCCCGCACCGGGACCCTCTCCCCCTGCCCCAGAGACCCCCACCCCGACCCTCAAACCCCGCCGACCGGGACCCTCCTCCCCTCGCCCAGACGACCCCACCCCGACCCTCAAACCCCGCCGACCGGGACCCTCCTCCCCTCGCCCAGAC